AAGCAATTAGCCATCTGCTAATACTCAAGACAAGTTTATCTGTTAGCTTTCTATTTATTTGTCAATAGCGCTAAAGGCTAGCTACCAGCCAACTGCTATGCTTATTAAGCTATTAGCAGCCAACTAACTGATTTAGCTTAGGCTATATTCATTAATGTTGTTTATTACGCTATTAGCAACCAGCTAACTCATTTAGCTTAGGCTATATTCATTAATGTTGTTTATTACACTATTAGCAACCAGCTTACTGATTTAGCTTAGCCTATATTGTAGCCATTAGCTAATCCTCATAACAGAGGTGAGTCGATGTGTAAACTGCCTTAGCCTAAGCTTTCCATTTATTCATCAACAATGCTTGCTAAGCTATTAGCAACTATGATCAGCTAAGACCAGCTAGAATTAAGTTATCACGATCCAGAACACAGTTACCATCTTAAACTGTGTTTTCAGACTCAAATTAACTGGTTCACTGCTAGCTGTTGTACGTCCCGTAGAACAATAAGCGTGGGCAACATAAAACAACCACGACAACCAAAGAGCTAATGTTCTGCTTCAATTGGCTCGTGCAGAGTGTTTAATAAAAAAGACAAACTGTCTACTTAACTGTAGGCTATATGGATTCAAAATATAGGACTATTGATCACCGTAATCATGCATAACTATAACTACACGATATTGCACAACTACATCATTAATCATTGTTTCCTAGAAAATAAGCACATTACAAAGAAACTTCCTCACCCCATACAGAAAGTAGAAGTGATATCCTCACATGTGATTTATGTCTAGAAGAAATTTATAGTGGCCTTTCTGACTCCCTGGAAAAGCAAGACTGTGATTTGCGCGCTTAAGCACAAACTCAAGGGACCAAATGGTGTCGGACAAGATCTCCATGTAAAAGGGGACAATAAAGCTGCCAGCAATGACTGATCTAGTTTTTGTGGGGAATCGTAAATAAGAGACTTGTTGCATAGAGAATTTCAGGCAGATTTAAGAAAAGATGAGAGATGGCATACAAAATGTATATGACACATACACTCAGTGTATAATGAATGGCATCTACCAGCAGGGGCTAATGTGGCTAAGCTAACCACTTACAGTAAATGTTCCTTGCATAGGAATATGAATACTTCCCTACTATAGTTTCCACTAGCATAGTTTCCACTAGTTGCACTAGTAGGCAACATTATTGTACAATACAGTAGCCTACACACATTCGCTACATGTAAAACATACTTTTTAATGGTTGCAAAGATTTCTCATCAAATGCAGCTGAACCAATCCTAAAATTTAAACAAGTAAACAAGCATATGTCCTAAATCATCGCCTATACCCTATATTTAGTGCACTCATTCGGTCCCACAATACACGGCAGCAAAGGCCAATTTACACCCAATAATACCCAGATGCCCTGCTACTGGAAACTTACAGATGTAGCAGTGATAACTTTTTTTATTGATTATTGTTTAATTAAGGTTTATACAAGCACGTTTCTGAGTTTGTTTTCATTCACTCCTATAGATTTCGCATGTACCACATGCTACTATGCTAAATCGCATTAGCATCATGGCTACAGTGGAAGATACTTGGAATTCTAACAGATTAATGAAAAGTAAAAAAAAAAAAAGGGATGCAGATCATTGTGTACAACCTAGAATGTTGTGTTTGCGGATTCAAACAAACATATCACGTGTCCTTGTTTACAGTTATTGATCAGGAGATTAGCATGCCCGACAAAAAAGCCATTACTTGAACACATCCAGTAATAATGATATATCCTGCCCTTGTTATCGAACTGGCTTCTAAAAACACAAATAAATGGATGGTTTTGAAACTCTTGGGATGGCAAACATCACCGAGCTAATAAGATTAGAGGGCAGCCAAGGCCAGCACAGGGTGTGTGCACAAAGCACCTTGCGTGTGTGAGTCGCTGACGTCCTGTTTTATGCTCGGCGTCCAGAAGAATCAATGCTCGAATGCCTACATTACTGTCAGCTGGAGTGTCTGTATCAGACTGGAACAGAAGCACATCTAAATCAGCAGATGCTCAGGGTGAGAGGCGCAATTAACGAAGGCGCATCATCAGCACTTATATCCCACTGGAGTTTTTAATACAGTCCTCATAAAGGGAGTTGAAGGTAACGGGATGAGGAATTAACTGCATATTAGCGCAGGCGGCCTTATCCCTAATGACCGCACACCGCCGTGATATCGCTAAAACGGTTCCTCAACAATCCATCCAGGCATGCCTTGTTTTATGTCTGAGAACCATTTTCGTGGTTACATAAGCTCTGGAAATGGGATCTTTTTGGCAATTGACAAGCCCAAGTGCATTTTTATTTATTTTAAAGTCTGGTTTATTTGTTTCTGGTACGTGTATCGACGCAAAAACAATGTGAAAAACTTTAACCATTTCAGATAATGGGTGCTTAAGGAATTTAAAGGGATAGTTCACCACAAAATGAAAATTCTGTCATTATTCACCCTCATGTAATTTTTTTTTGTCCATACAATGAAAGTGAGTGTCCAAAACTCCACTAACATTCATTCATTCTACGTTTTTCAAATTATCTTCTTTTGTGCTTCAAAAAAGATGGAACATCATACAGGTTTAGAAACATTTTTACATAAAACAAAGTGTTAGAAATTTTTGGGTAAATTTTCCCTTTGAGATCATTTTGCTATTAAATGAGTGTTCATATTAAACTTATGATTTCCCTCCAGTGGATGATAAAATTGTTTATAGTGAAGGGATAAAAAGTGAAAATTATGACAAAGAAGCATTATTAGGAGATAAAGTCATAATACTGGCAAACTTTGTCCTCATTCACTTTTTATCACATCTTGACCAAGACAAAAAGGCAATTGAAAATAAAATCTAATTGACAAGTCATTATTACAAATCATAAAGCCATTTTTATGAGATAAAAAGTAATCACTATGAAAAATATGTTGATATTATTACATAATAACACAAGAGGACAAATTATAATTATAACAAAAAAATCACTGATGACAAAGTCAAAATTCTGACAAAAAATTAGATTTTCAATTGATATTGACAATGAGATAAAAAGTTCAAATTTGAGAAAAATGTGACCAGTAAAACAATTACAATAGAAACAAAATATATAATTTATATGTAATTATATATAAAATATTTAGTTCTCTATCTGAGATGAGGTGGATCTCTTTTGACTTTGACCTAGCAACCACACAAAACAGCCTAGCAACCACATAGCAATGCCATAGCAGGCTCCCAAAATGCCAAAGCAACCATATCCATTATGACTCATCAGTCCACTATCACGCAACATGACAAGATCTGCAGGATCACATACACACCGTCGTCACAGTACATATTTATACCTAAACAATCTCCTTGCAAAAAGGGTAACATGCGTTTGAATCAATGTTGGACGCTGTTAAGAGGACAGGAAGCAGTTGACCCAGTAAATCATCAGCTGAACTAACATGGCCAAGGACAGCTCAGTGCATCTCTGGATAGAGATTTACCGGGCTCAAAGTGCGCTGTGTATAATCATACAAATGCTGAGGCAGCGCTGCTCCTAACGATCTCATTCAGCTTTAAAAGTCATTAAAGTGGAATACCACAGATAGGCTGAAGAATCATTGTTGGCCCATCTTTATTGTTAAGACTGGTTGGTTTGCAGCAGCATAGGGCTTGAACTAGAAGGACAATGAAAAATAACAGGACTGTGTTTGGGTGTTTAAAATTAGCTTTGAATATGTGACATAATGTACAGTACAAATATATTTAAAAAAATTAACCAAGTGTCAACTCTTAAGCAGTAAATGCAATATCTCCAACATGAGTGAGTCGTAAGGTGCTCCAGAGGGATTCTCCCTATAAGTTCTAATATTCATGTAAAAAGAAGTTTTGCCAGGTTTGACATTGATACCAATGCCTTTGAAAGGATAATTTAGCATAAAATTAAAATTTAGTCATTTAGTCAACCCTCATATTCTTCTGCTAAACACACACAAAAAATATATTTGGAAAAATGTCTCCAATTTTGTTATGGGCCCTATTGACTTCCTCATTGTTCTGCAAAAACAAGCCTTGAATGACGAGGATGAGTAAAATATGACCGAAATGCTCCCAGAGCAAAAACTAAAGGCAAACAATGGTAGACATTTATCCTCCAATGTGGAGTTGTCTGTTCAACATCAGCATTGGTATCTTCCTTTAAAGCCATTTTATGTTTGTATATGGACGGTGCTGCGGTACAAAAAGAAGACAAAGAGAGAAAAAGCTTCGAAACACTTGAAATATAGCGCACAAGTGTCATTTTTTTGGGGGCTTTTTTTGTAAAAGAGCAGCGTGAACATTCTTTAAAATTTCTCTTTTTGTTTTCCACGGATGACTGAATATAGTACTGGGCGAGTAAAAGATGGCAGAAATTGCACTTTTGGGTGAACTATCCCTTTAAATAATATAGCCAAAATTTGGCATTAACCCTATAAAACATTATACACAAATGCAGCAATTGAGAGAAAACCTTTATTAAAATTGAAGTCAAATGCCCTCTATCACATCAAATACTGAAAAAAAGTCAAAGAAAAGAGACAGTTTGACACTAACACCTCAAGTTAGGACAGAAGGGATAGAGGGATTTGCAGGCGAAACAAATACATGGAGAGCGAATGTCAGAGAAGAAGACAATAGGAGAATATAAGATGACAGAGCCCTTCGTTCAACTGGAGAACATTTAGATATGATTGTCGTCATGCTCCAGTACTATAAGCAATTCGATTGTGAAATGGCTAAGCTGTAGAAACATTAGGGAATGGGAAAAGGTGGGGAACGTAATCTAATTCATGCGTTTAATGGAGAAAGATTGCATAGCTGTAGAAAACACTGTCTCAGTGGTGCTGACGCCTGTAATGTGCTTTTAGCCCTCTCTCTCTCTCTCTCTCTCTCTCTCTCTCTCTCTCTCTCTCTCACTCTCTTGTCCAGTTTGTTTTTTCCTTCCTGAAAACTGTCCCATGATTTATTTGATCCCGCATAAGAGTCTTTAGAAACAGAAGAGTGAGTCAAAATGTTGTTCAATGTGCCACGGACATAGGTAGAAGCCCATAAAAGCGGTTTACGCCCGCATTAGTTTTACTCCAGGAGCAGGTGTGTGGGTCAAACCCACAAAAGGCCTCACCTTTCCATTTTTGTCTCTCTGAAAACCCAAGGAATTTCTGATCCAATGTTTTCTGAAAAAACAGCCATGCATTTGTCAGTAATCCCATCTAGTGTGCTTCCGGTCCAAAAAACCAAAGGAAAACGGTTGACATTTATCCTTCGATGTGGACTTGTCTGTTCAAGGAACGTCAGCATTGGTATCTTCCGTTGAAGCCATTTTAGATTCGTATATGGAAGGTGCTGAGGTACAGAAAGACAACAAAGAGACAAATAGCATATTAGATTAGAGGTAAAAGATCCAGTTTCATGCCCCTAAAGCATCATTTATCTCCAAAGAGTGATGAGGCCTGGATATATATTTTAGGTTTTACAGCCTTAAACATTCGAGGCAATTTTGCCGTCTCACTGGTAACTGATGACAATTGAGCATGAAGTTCTTAGAAAGTATTCAAGCAGATGGCTTTTGAAAATGAAATGTTCAAATTAATTTGCAGATCGAATGGCAGAAAGAGTTCCAAACCTTTGTCATAGATCTTTAACAATAGACATTAACCACCTGTGCTTACTTCATTTGGGGGAAGTGCTGTGTCATTCTCTTAAATGGACAATTTTACCTCATGTCACCCTTTAATGTCATTCGAAAGAACGTTTAAAACCGTGAAGGAAGAATTCACAAAGTTTCAATTGTGCCTATTGGTTTGTACATGCTGCATTTATTGTTTTTGCCCCCGATTCACTAAAGAAATGTGCAGGATCAGGTACCCGTTCAACTTATTTATTTATTAATTACTTTTATTTATTAATTAATATATTATTGGAAAAAGAATATACTACCATACAAAAGTCTGGGGTCAGTAAGTTTATGCATTTGAAAAAAAGTTTCTTAAGTTTAACAAATTAAGGCTGCATATATTTAGCAAAATCAGTAGTATTGTAAAAAATATTATTACAATAAATAAAAACTATTCTATTTTCATTTAATTATGTATTATTAAAGTCACAAGCTCCTTCAGAAATCATTCTAATATGAGGAATTTGTGCTCAAGAAACATTTATACATAAAATATAAATTGTTGTGCTTCTGTTCTTTGATTAATCTAAGTCTTTACTTTCACTTTTTTGAATAAGAAACTAAATGACCCAGAACTTTTGAATGGTAGTGTATATAAAGTATATACAGAGTTTACAGCATTTAGCACCTTGATTAATTGAATTGTGAATGGTTAGTGATCCATTAGTGATCACTAACCATCACTAATGGATCACTAACCATTCACAGTGATCTTTTGCAAAAGGCATAAGTGTTTAATGAATTGGAGTGATTATGCATCAGGCATAAGAAGATATTTATAAAGACAGTTCACTTCGTCTATACAGACAGGAGCCATCTTAGAAAATAGTCTCGATAAGTCGATCCCCGAACGCCGTTCATTCAGTTCAGAATTTCGCTGTTCGTGGTTTGACTTATCGAGACTGTTTCCAAGATGGCTTCTGTCTGTATACGCGAAGTGAACTGTCTTTATAAAGTATCATCTTATTAAACGTTCTCAAAATTCTCAATGCTTCGTTTTGCATGTATGGACCCTCATTATGTTACTGTGTTAGTGTGGGACTATTTTGAGCCTTGTTAGTGGTATAAACTAGCGATTTATTTTTACTTAGTTAATCCCCCCATTCCTAGCGTTATAAGCTAAACAGTTTTTAGAGATAAAACTCTTTACATTCGATTATCATGAAAACAAATCTCAGAGAACGATTGACTAGGTACCGATGTTTTATTAGACAAAGGTTCATTTTGTGCCGGAGTTCTCCTTTAAGTAACAAAAACGTAAAGTCAGCAGAATGCTAAAGCATTAACTTTCTATGAGTGTTCAAGAAATTTATTCCCTCGTTGAATGACAGCTGCTGAAAGCAATTCTACATTTTTTGGCCTCCAGGTCTCCAAATGATGGTACAAAACGTTCCTGTCTCTCTCAATCATGTGGTCTCTGAGGCACAGCTGTGCAGTCCAAAAAGGCCTATAAAAGCCAAGCAGAGGAACTCTTGCCTGATAAAGCATATTTGAGCATATTTGAGCGTGCGGCTAAATTATAGCAGTGTGCCTCCAAAGTATGTCCGATGTGAGTACATTAACTCCCAATATATATATATATATATATATATATATATATATAAAATGAGAATATTGCCCGCATTCTCCACCATCAATACAATACAATATATATATATATATATAAAATGAGAATATTGCCCGCATTCTCCACCATCAATACAATACAATACAACAGCAACATCAAACTCTGGTTAGCATACATCTGAGGAAACAGGTCATATTACCAATATTCTTACCTTAAAAAGTCAGGAGCCCTCGAGATCATGTTCTCAAAGTCAGCAAAGGAGAGCTTGCTGTCTCCATCCAGGTCGGCCTCCTCAATGGCCTTCTCACACACCAGAACAACCTCCTCCGGAGTTAACTCCTCCTTTGTTAACCTGTTTAGAGTCTGTTCTAAGTCCTCCTTGCAGATGTAATTATCCACATTGAAGTCTAAGAACAAAACATGATGATGAGAGTTAACTACAAATGAGCTCATGTTATAAAGTTGCCACATTGTTTATGAATGATGCCATATAAATGTTTATTACAACCTCTAAAACTGTGCATTGTTACACTCACTACATTTTTTGTTCTAGTGGACTGTACATAAGGTAATGAAAAATGACATTTACCATATATTTTAAAAGCATAAATGGCTTTCAGTTCTCTCGGAGCCATTTCGCTGAGAACCGAAAACATGTCCACGAAGTCGTTGAAGCTGAGGTTCCCCTGGCCATCTTCGGAGAACGATTCCACAATCCGATTCCTGAATGGATTCTCCTAGAAAACAGAAATTGAAAGTTTTCTTCTTTCCCGATTCCCAGTGTTCAGTTCCTGTGGTTTGTTCCATAGTTACTCTTGTTAGTCACCATAACAACTGATTACCCACACCTGTGCCTTGTTATCCTCTTGTTAGCCTGTGTATATACCCTGTGTTTCAATCTTTGTTTGTCAGTCATTCTCTTTACATATGTTGTAATGCTGTTATGTTTCCTTGTGTTCCCTTATCATCTTTTTTCAATAATTACTCTTGTCTCCTGGTTTGGATTACTTTTATGTTATGTGTTCATTGAATAAAGACCGCTTGCTAAAGATCCTCATCTCTCCACAGCTTTGCTCCATCAGCGAAATCTACTAGGTTAAATAGGATACACTTAAAAAAAAAGGACTAGAGAGGCTGCATATCAGTGTAATTATGTAAGAATTATTTATACATCATTATAAATATTGTAAACTGGCTTTTTTTGTTTTCTTTTAAGTTTTAGTAATTTTGGTGAGTGCTTTTGCAATTTTTATTAATTTATTTTTCTATTTAACTTCCATTTCCTGTATTTTCACGTTTTGATCATTTTAGTACATTGATTTAAAATTATTTCAGTTGCAACATTACTAATCTTTTTTGTCTGATATTTATATATTTTATTTAATTTCAGCTTTATTTCAATTACTGAAAACAATTGTAATAGTATTATAATTAGTTAAAAATAACAACTCTCCTTCTCTCTTCATATAGATCCACATATTCTTATAGAAACCTTTAATTTTTATTGTATAGAACTAGAATTTTTAAGTAAAACTTTACAAAAAAGGTAATGGTATCACTATGTAAATACAATGAAAACCATACAATGCCATATTATTCTTTAATATGTTTTACAAACTATCAATTAACAGATTTCCCCTTAAAATCAGTGGAAGAAAAGTGGAAAACATCTACAGATTGCTTCTGGGCCTACAAATCTATGGCTGTACATAAGCATGTGTGCAGCAGTGGGAGTTTTGCTGAGTGAGTCATGTACAAAATGTAGAATGGCTGACTCCCCAAACTAGTGCTCATATATTTCTTACTGGCTATTGGCCTAAAGGAATTTTTATGCCCTGCTACTAGCTGACTCAACAGCTCTGGGAACAGTAGCATGAACACAGCAGAGCAGGATCAACCTAAACATTTCACCTCTGTTTATAGCTCTCAAAATCCTGTGAATGGTTATAACTAGACTTTAACATTTTTGGGACGTGTCGTGAGTGGCGGTTTGCACTTTCTTTAATGAGGTCAGGGTGTTCAATAAGACAAAATACTCTTCAACCACAATCAATAGAATGCAAGTTTGATCTGAATGAGAATTTGATTAGATTGGAATGTGTGGAGTAAAGGCCCGTACACACCGGGAAGAATATCAGCGTGCGTTATTCGGCAGCGTTTTTCAACGCGTTTTTTTGTGTTCACACCCAAGCGATTTTCGCTGACGATGAGCCGAGTGAACATGCAAATTCATTCCCTGACATTAAATGGCGCCCATTTGCTCTGCAATACCACTCCATAACAGTTCTCTTTTATCAAGATTTTTGTAGTCGCTGTCATGTTTGTCATATAGTTCTTTATGTTCTAACACCAACGAGAACAGCAGCTCTACATTCATCTCGCCTTGCATCATTATCCTCGTCTTATTTCTTCCTGGCAGTGTAGACAGCGTCGCTACTCGGCGTATGTCTTCTTCTCAGTTCCGTATGTGTGCTCGGCAAGACCGTTTTGTGTTTGAGCGCCCCCAAGTTGTGTTTTACTGTAACTTCAGAAGCTCCAGACACGTGAGCAAAAGCGCCATCTCATTGGTCGGATAGTTTTTGACGCGGCGCGTCAAACTAATATATAGCGAAACCGAGGCGTTTTAAAAAAATGACACTTTTACGAGTTGGTGTGCACACTCACATTGGCGCCCTTTGTTTAGTCACGAGGCGTTAAACGTCGGAGACTAAAAATTTACTAGATGTTTTAGGGATGCACAATATATTGGCCACCATATCGGTATCTGCCGATATGCATAATCTTTATCGGCCCAATAAGAAAATTTGGCCAATATATTAAAGACGAAAAATAATGGATTATTTCCATCCGCTGAAACACTTCAGATGACCACTGTTCGCCATGATGGTTTTTGTAATCAGGCTCTCAAAAATTTAATAAAAAGTTGGATTTAGATTTATCAGCCAATACATCGTTTAACGGTTTTTGGCCAAAATTTTTATATTGGGGCATCCCTAAAATATTTGCTAAAAAATCTCTTCTGACATACATGTCAGTTTTATCTTTTACATACAGTATGTTGTAATGTTATGCTCAAGGTAACTTCAGTGACATTAATCGCACAAGTTTTCTGAACGTGCCATTTTGTTTGAAATAGATATATGTAAATAAATATGGAATCAGATTGCAAGGTTTAGAGTTCATATAAATAGATTTGCTTCATGGGCAACAGCATAGAGAACATCCATCCATGTGTAAATGTCAAAACCATAGGCATTTGTATTGGCAGAAGTTAGGTAAACAGCCCTCTAAGTGTGTTGAATCTTGCCACTTTTGCTTGAAAAAGCTAATTATCAGACGGAATGGGGATTGGGATTTATGTTTATAAAGGTTGAGAGGATCTCTGGAAACTGGAAGCTGTCGTAGTCCCATCAATCCCAGCTTGAATGGTCTCCATCAGTATTGTCTACCTCCTAGGGTTGGGTTTATCGCTCCTTCGTCCACCTGACAGCTTTAAAGGGCAGTAAAATTATGTTCCAACATGGGGGACATAATGGGGCTTATTCTAGAGCTATAACATCTGACAAATTTTGACTGACTGAGGGCTGGGTCAAGGTACGATAGAATCAGCGAAGTGACTACTATAGTAATGAATTTCTTGACTGAATTTCTAGATTTTTTAAGTGATTTTTAAACTGAACATTTTATCGAACGTTTATATAAATGACAAAATATTTAGACAAAATATTTCAACTCTAATCTATAAGTTTGTAAGTGTGTTTTTGTTGACTGTAATATACAATACAGGTACATCTGGTTTTTATGGCTCAATATGAAATAGGGAGAATTGGGAGCTCATACTCAAGGAAAAAACAACTGAATTTTTTTATTTTGCAGATATTTATTATGGACAAAAAGTAATATGGAATTCTGATTGTTTGTAAAGCAAATCAATTTATAACAGTTCATATCAATCTTTATAACAGTTTAACACACATGCAAGTATCAGTTGTCAATGGTTAGTTTTATCAAAGCTCTGTAGTTTTATTTGTGGAAGGAAAACCTATTAATTTCAATAAATTGATGATAAACATTCCCCAAAAGCCTGGTATCAAATCTGATTCTCACATTTTAAGATGATTTTTCAAAAAAAATAAATAAATAAACAAATGATGTATAGATAAATCAAGCAAGCCCAAGTTGCTTCCGTCCAGTAAATGTTCATAATATCACCAACAATATAAAGTTATTCAGTTGCTTAATAAAAAATCTGAAAATATTTTGCCGCAAAAAGACACATAAATATATCATGACCTGTAGGGGGATGTTTTTACAATTGTACTGAAAAAAAAGTATAAACGTCTGCAGAATGCATGTAGAAGATAGTTTTGATCAAGTTAATAATTAGAGGCCTTACAACATTGATTATCATATGATACAGCTGGCTTTACAAGGTTAAAAAAAGTACAGGATAAACTTTGATTTTATCCACCAGCCCTTGCCTTTTTTAAAGATCTGAAAGGGTTTTACAATAACAGGTCCTAATAAAGCACTTCCTCTATAAAGTAACATTGTTATGACTTTAATACTAGTATAAAGCTAATGCTCTTTTTGGCTAATACAATAAACAATCCCTTAAATCTTTAGTCAGATTAAACGTATGTGTCTTTACAACCATGGGAAATCTTAAACGCTATAACATAATTTGCTGAAACGGCACCATCTCATGGAGTGTTAACTTTCACAAGCACAGTGGTGTAATATCCCTCGCTCTCACCGCTTGTGCCGTCATTGCCAGCATCGTCATTAAAAACCAATTTTGCCCAATAAAAACAAGTGTCTATTATATTTGATATAAACTAAAAGTGCAGAGAAGGTCATTGCACAAGTATTCTGTTGCCTAAACAAGGGTCTGGGTATATTTCTGCACCCCTTATGCTGTTGTATGCGAACTGGAAGTTAATTTCTATGTAGTTAACACAGACAAGTGATACAACTAGTAAAACATTCCAGTGCAGTTATACGAAATGAACTCTCTGAATGCAGCTGGACCAAGTCGATGTGATGCTGCATCACAAAAGGAGTAACTGGCAAAGTGGTGAACTGTTAGAATTACCTTCAGTTCCGGCATGTTGACTATGAGAGCTAAAGGGATTTTAACGTCAGGGTCATTGGTGTAGTCCATTGGAACCAAATGTGGAGCCAGCTCGTGGTATCTTCCATGCAAGCTGCAATGCAGAAAATGTGGAAACTGGTTACTGGAGTCCATTATTGTTGCTCTGGCCTTTTACCTCATCCTTTGAATCAGACCTCATTAGTTTTTTTCACAACTATACTGTAAAATGAGAATGAACAAAATGGCCTATTTCAAATGTACTAGAGAAGGCCACAAATTTACTGATTTACTGAGAAAGGAGAAAAAAGACTATATATATACTGTATATATATATATATATATATATATATATATATATATATATATATATATATATATATATATATGTGTGTGTGTGTGTGTGTGCGTGTGTGTGTAAAATTAAAATATCAGGTTAAAGTCAGGGTGAAACAAGTTGAAATAGTCTTTCCTTTCCTATTCTGACAAATAATATTCGAAGTGAAACAGCTTCTCGTTTTAATCTCGTTGATCAAACAAAAAGAAAATGAAAAGAAAAGTAAAAGAAAAACAAAGAGCAACACAGGAAAATGTTTATATTTTTGTTTGGCGATGACAAAACAAAACAATACAAAAAAAAAGTGTATTATTATTTTTATTTGCTTTTACACTGCAGCAATAGACATTTATTCTCCAACAGCAGTGGTTTATATTTAAAATAAATGACCACAATGCATAAAACTAAATGCATTTCACAAATACTGTAAAACTCAATTGTTAATCACACTAACCCATCATAGTTATGCACTCAATGTAAGAAGAATTAGCAGTGCTCTTGAATAAGCAGGCATATTTGTCAAGGCTGTTTTGTCTGTTTGTTCCTGGCAGAAAGATCTGGAGACTTGCCAACCAACGGTGAACTGATGACTCATTCTGAGCATGGCAACAAGACACAGGGAAGCGAACACTGTAATAGGCCTTTGCAGCAGTAAAAGCTTACGTGTGTTAAATAAACAATTAACATTCTGCACCAATAGGCCTGTATATGTCACAAAAACAAAACAATTTGTTTATCATCGTATTTGTTTGTTGATTACTGAGCAAAACAAAAAGCAAAAAAAAAAAAAAACGAAAAAAAAAAAAAACGAAGTAGAATAAAATAAATAAAATAAACATAAAAAAAAAAATCAAAGCAAGCATGAATAAAGTAAAAAAAAAAACAATGAATAATAAACTAACAAAAAAAGGATAAAAAGGAAGCTGATACAGTGGCAAAATCCACTCGGCACAGAAGCACATCTCCAATCATGACTGTAAAAAAAAAATTGTTTTGTGACTCACCAATATGAATAACACTTTAGATTAGGTGTTTCCCAACACCAATAAATAACAGGAAATGTTATTATATAATATTATACTTATTATGAAACACTACTTTGTAGTAGTAAACTCCAATGAAGTGATTAAACATGTGATTAGTAATTGCTCCAGCTTGTAGAAGTCAATAATAAACGCATGCATTACAACAACTGCTCTGCGGCACATTATATTTATATTATGACATATGATAATATGTTATCAGACAAAAGCTTTGCTATTAGCAGAGGGTGTGGAAATATTTCTAGTATTGATGATATTACAGACTGTATCTTGTCCCAGCCGTAGTTACAAGAACAGAGACAAATCTAATCTCATGTTCCTCCACAGGCATCCAATCAGGATGCAAGGAAATACAAGCCAATTCATAACGATTGCCGATAACCCTACGCTAACCTTGCATAACAGTGTGGCGGATTGTGCCGGTCTGTGCGGAGAACAGGAGAAACTGAGTGTTTTATGAAGGTGATAAAGTACAAGACTCTATTAGGTTTGCCAGTGATTGTCCATTTTGTTTCTCGTGCTCCACTGGCCCTGTTATCAAAACCAATCTCAGTGTCATTGCAGAGGCACAGTCCATCCACATAAATCAAGATTACACATCTTATGTAAGAACTGGAACTACTTATGAAACACCGGATCACAGCTTGAGAAATGAAAAAAAAAAGAGCGCTTATGCAAATTAGGGTGGGTTTGCAAGGTGTTTTGAAAACACAAAACACACTCAGAGCACTTTGGCAACCACATAGCAACACTCTAATACACTCAGAACACCTTGGCAAACCCATAGCAACACTCTAACACACTCAGAAAGAACACCTTGGCAACCCCAGCAACACTCTAACACACTCAGAACACCTTGGCAACCCCAGCAACACTCTAACACACTCAGAACACCTTGGCAACCCCAGCAACACTCTAACACACTCAGAACACCTTGGCAACCCCATAGCAACACTCTAACACACTCAGAACACCTTGGCAACCCCATAGCAACACTCTAACACACTCAGAGCACTTTGGCAACCACATAGCAACACTCTAACACACTCAGAACACCTTGGCAACCCCATAGCAACACTCTAACACACTCAGAAAGAACACCTTGGCAACCCCAGCAACACTCTAACACACTCAGAACACCTTGGCAAACCCATAGCAACACTCTAACACACTCAGAACACCTTGGCAACCCCATAGCAACACTAACACACTCAGAAAGAACACCTTGGCAACCCCAGCAACACTCTAACACACTCAGAACACATTGGCAACCCCATAGCAACACTCTAACACACTCAGAACACCTTGGCAACCCCATAGCAACACTAACACACTCAGAAAGAACACCTTGGCAACCCCAGCAACACTCTAACACACTCAGCACATCTTGGCAACCACATAGCAACACTCTAACACACTTAAAACACCCTGGCAACCCCAGCAACACTCTAACACACTCAGCACATCTTGGCAACCACATAGCAACACTCTAACACACTTAAAACACCTTGGCAACCCCAGCAACACTCTAACACACTCAGCACATCTTGGAAACCACATAGCAACACTCTAACACACTCAGAACACCTTGGCAACCCCATAGCAACACTAACACACTCAGAAAGAACACCTTGGCAACCCCAGCAACACTCTAACACACTCAGCACATCTTGGCAACTCCATAGCAACGCTCTAACACACTCAGAAAGAACACCTTGGCAACCCCAGCAACACTCTAACACACTCAGAACATCTTGGCAACCAAATAGCAACACTTTAACACACTCAGAACACCTTGGCAACCGCAGCAACACTCTAACACACTCAGAACACCTTGGCAACTCCATAGCAACACTCTAACACACTCAGCACATCTTGGCAACCATATAGCAACACTCGAACACATTCAGAACACCTTGGCAACCCCATAGCAACAGTAACACACTCATAACATCTTGGCAAATGCATAACAACATTTTAACACACTCAGAACACATTGGCAACTGCATAGCAAAACTCTAAAATACTTAGAACACATTGTTAACTGCATGGCAATGCCCCAGCAACCACTCACAACACCCTAGCTGTAAGCAAGCACTATACAAATTAACACCAAAAATCAGATTCATAAGGTATGCATTGTCAGAGAGACAAACATGAGACCGCATCAATATTTTATTTGACTTTAGCAGCAGTAGCTCTAGCATGGTATTATTATCCAGAGCTCCAGGTATTAAACAACATCAAGCTAATTTTTTATGTGGAATATGTTGCCGGTTATTCAAGGCACCCTGGTGCATTACGGCACCCAGCGAATGGGTAATGAAAGCAGAGTGTTACAAAGCACTCTGGAGACATGAGATAAAAGCCAGTAATGGTTCATTGCTGAAGAATAAGCTGAGCCTATAATGGCCATTAGAGAGTAATGCATTAAACATCTCATTAACCCCTTTCATGGACGCAGGCTCAATGTTACACTTTAGCCCACTTAATAAACACATCGTTTTTTTAACCCACCACATAAAACACACACATGAGAAGTCTTTACAAATACGCCACATTTTTTTTAATCGAGAAATTTCATTGTGGTTTCTCTGATTGCAGTTTAGAAAGGCAACAACTTGTGAACAACTCAACTATGTGTGAAAGTGATAAAGACACTTGATATATTGTTATGACAGGAATATGTTTCTTTGCAAAGGGAACCTACACACCATGGTGAGGCTTTTTCACGGTCACAGGAAAGTCCATGAGCCATCATGAGTCACCAGAGGACTGTAGGATGGGTTTCATTATGATAACTGAGGCCTTTCATTACGGTCTCTCTTATTAAATGGTATAACAACTGCAAACACACAGTTAATCCCAACCAGTACAGATCAACATGAAGATCTTCACCAGCTGCTCATGTGATCTCAGCAAAATGCCTTTGGAGAAGGAATTCTGGATGGTATTTAACAAATAACTTTCCATTAATATAGTACCATTAGTCTGAAACTCTTAAATTGATACTTTTTTCACATTTCTTATGCTAATGATCTCACAAATGATGGGGTTAACTTTCAGAAAATGTTGATCATCAGTCTAAAGAGGTCAAATGCTGTTTTTGAATGTTTTGTAACCTTGTTTTCTAAAAGTATGTCTAAATGAAGAGTTCAGATGCAAAAGCCTCTAAGTGCCATTTGAAATTTTCTTCTTTAATGATTATTTTTATCAAGCTTGTATATTTAAGTTCAGTGATTTCACTTAAATGGCAATGATAATTACCTATTAATTGTTATTTAAGTGAAATTACTGAACATAAATATACAAGTTTGATAAAAATCATCATTAAAGAAGAAAATTTCAAATGGCATTTAGAGGCTTTTGCATCTGAACTCTTCAAATACAACTTAAAACCATGATTGTATTATTTTTTAGCAGTAAGCATTATATAAACTATTAGATACTAATAAAAACTTTATTTTAAACTAAGATGCCACGCAGTACAATGTTACACGCAACATTTTGATAAAGTTTTTGGTAAATAATAAATAATATTAGTGACTAGAAATATTAGACATAATTAATTCAATCAAAAACAGGCTGTCAAGATTATGACAACATTGTACGATTTTCAATTATGAATGCTTATAGTCTGTAAATGTAAATATAAAAAATGTAGACCAACCACAACAGACTGGGCCACCGGACCAATCAGAGCAGAGTAGACCAATCACAATAGACTGGACCGTCTGACCAATCAGAGCAGAGTAGACCAATCACAACAGCATGGACCATCT